AAATTGTCAGAAGTGCTTCTTAATATGTAAATTTTCCGAGATTTTTCGCAACTTTGGCAGTTTCTGACAACCCTTTAGCTTCTACTTACTCTTCTGACAATTTTTTTCCTGCTTTTTCTCATACTCCTCGATACCTATGCAAATTTTCAGCCGTGCCGATCGACAGTTTTTTTTGTTGGAAAATTTACACGTTTGATCGCCCGCCCACCTACTTAGCTTCCAGTCCGCCTTCTGACGGTCGGGCTTTCGCTTTGCCGGCAGCAATTGAACCTTTTCCAGGTAAGATATTTCATGGACCGAGGCATGTTGCTTTTTCTGTTGCCAGCTCTTAGACTATAAGTAAAATTTTATTGTCTAATATTCAACGTACTGGACATGAAGCTTATGTTTTTTCAGAATAGACCTTTATATTATCTTAAAGTATGTACTTTTACCTACCGCGTGCAATACCTAACCTTATGAATATCTCAAACGTGTCGGCCATGAGGCTGTTTGAAGTAAAAAAATGCCCTCGGGGCACGTTGTCATGAATTTGATGGGAATCTATTGCGAATCTTCGGATGATGATAACGAGTAAAAATATTTTATGTTTAATCACTGACATGATTATAAAAAAAAATGTGTATCAATAAGTTGCGCATTCGAGTGGAATTCTTGTATTTAGATTAAGACGAAAACTTCGTGCTTTTTGTACTTTTTTGAAATAAAATAAATGTTTTTGTGAAGGATTTTACTTGTGATGATACGCGTATTCTTCACTAGCGCTACAGCCCTGACGGCCACCTAGCGCCTATTTCAACGTGCACTCCTGCGCCCGAGTGGTGGGATAGCCCGAGCGGTGGGGCAGCCCCCACCGCCCTCACTCGGGGTATAAATAGGGGACTCGAGCCGACTCGAGTCACCAGTCCTGTCCGATTCCTGCTTCCGACACGACCACTCTCCGAGACCGCTTCTCTAGGTTGGGTGCCCCCAACCTCGTCCTCCGTACAGGGAACGGGTGCCCCCGTTCTCACCTGGGTGCCCCCAGGGTTCGGGCCTCCCCAGCTGGGTGCCCCCGGTTGGCATTACCTGCCCTCTCCACCCTCTGGGTCGGGCGCCCCCGACCCTTTCCGCCGTACGGAAGACGGGTGCCCCCGGTGTACGGGCCGCTCAGTCGGGCACCCCCAACTGAGCTCCTGACCGTCCTACCTGATAGATATAAGCCGCGCCTCCGCCCGCGAATCCGTAAGGCCACCGGGCCTCCGTGTTCGCCCGCAAATCCATCTCGGCTAGTTGTGAACTCGTCTACTCGTCCGCGGGTCTGCCCCGCATCGACCCTAACACGTACACTGCGGCTCAGCGGAGCAATACACACACACACACACGCACCTACACGTACGCCCTCCATTATTTCTGTATCACTTAGTTAGTAAGAATAAAGACTATTTAGTAAAACCAACCAGTGTCTCCACGTTTTCTCACCCTGGCCTGGCGAGCGAATTCCGAGCGAGAAAACGCGAACGTTACATACTTTTTTACATTGCAGCGCACTATAATATATTGATATTTACATTGAATACAGTTTGGATAACATTTTGCATGCAATTACATTTGATGTGACAAACGGTCACGGGGCACGTTGTCACAAACGACCTGTCGTTATTTATTGTTATGTAACAACTGTAGAGTAACAATCACACAAAATTCGATACTGTCCAATTGAAGCTGAGAGTTCACTCGAAATTTTGACATATCAAAGTACTCTTAAATATTGAATGTAAAAAATACAAAAAATATTGAACCAAATGTGTGACAACGTGCCCCGGTCTACCCTAAATATATATGATTATATGTGATTATATATGAAATTTGGTGCTTTATATAAAATTATATATGGGCATATATAATTCCAAATATATCTAGATATGAATAATAGATCATACTATATGCACTCATGTATGGATACATATAAAATTCATATGGAAGTATATATAACCCTATATGATTATATGATTATATATATTTATACAGGCGATTAAAATAATAAAATTTACATAACTTAATTTTTAATAAAACGTGAACTGTATAAATATAAATATAATTATCAAATTACGATCTTTTAGTGAAATTTAGAGGAAGATTTTTTGAAAAACGTTATTTAAAAGTAAATTGTCTGATTTAGACAGTTACATTATAATATTTTTTCATACAGAATAAAGAGGAAAAATATTAATAAGAAATTGGTCCAATCGTTATCAAGATGAGGTGGTCTCACGCTTGTGTGTCGGCACGTATACTTTACGCAAGATACTATTGTGATTGCGTTCAGTATTGGCACTTATTGCCAGTACTGAAAATCTGCAGTGCACGTGTCGTTTTTCATTATTAGCAGTGAATGCAGAACCCAGCCCTCTCTTAAAACATGAAAATTTAAACATTCCTGATATCTTCTGTTTTTATTATATAAATAATAAATATATATTTTTTAAGCATTTTTTTTCATTTCAGTATTTTGTTTCAACTCATGAAAAAAATTAATTATATATTTAAAACACTCATTCAATCATTTATTAAATTTTACTGAGATTGTAAAAGAACATTCAATTACATAATACAATAGGTATATGTATAATTACAATATAAGTATAGTTTACGGACGCACACACACGTACGTGTATGTGTGTGTGTACAAGAACTTTAAAATATTAACAATAAATGCTGAAAATATAATACAATGTCTATTATAGCTTTGCATTATATAGACAACTAAACTTATTTTTAATAAGAATTCATATGTAAAGTATAATGTATTAGATATATTACATGAAAGTAATTGTATATTAGTTGTATATACACAATAGAGAAGCCTAATGTTACATCATATTATATATTAAAATTAATTGATATACTTAGAACATTTTAATGTCTATCTATTATAAACATAGAGTAGAGTACAATCAGTGTTATGTATTACAAAATTAGCAAATTAAGCATAAAAAACCAAAACATATAAATAATATATATTCGTATAACAAATTTTAATATGGAGAAAAAAAAAATAATTGCTTTTTTTCATGTAATACAGGCTTCCACTGTCTTTTTGACAGCATCACGAGCATATGGTATATACGATAAGGAATACCATGTCATAGCTAGCGACTGAATAATTATAAATAGAAGAGCTAGACCAGGATTGTGCAACTGAAAATAAAAGAGTATATTAATTACTTTAAAGGATATATTAACAACAGGAAGTATTGAATACTTACATGCAAAGCTGCAAACAATGTTAAAGCAATAGAGACAAATACTAATATAGTTGCAATTACTCTTGTCGATGCAAACATCTTCTTAAGTTGATTAAATGGACCCATCAAGAAACATGTACTAAAACACAAGTCGATATATACACATATATAAGTATATATGTAATGTTCTATAGTTATATTTATAAAGTTTATTACATAAACTATTATATAAATATTAAAAATGATAAATATTATATAAATTAAACAATATATTCAATATAACAAATTACAAATTTTGATACAGAGTAAAAGAAAAATAATTGCTTTTTTCATATAATACAGGTTTACATCACTGTCTTTTTGACAGTATCACAAGCATATGATATATATGATAAGGAATACCACGTCATAACTAATGACTGATTAATTATAAATAGAAGAGCTGAACTAGGACTGTGCAACTTTATATCTTTGAAAATATACATTACAGCAAAAAATGTTTTAGACAAAAATTGTTTAGTTTAAAAAAGAAAAAAGATATAAATTTAGATATAATGTTAGTTTGTTTTTAGATGTAGGTTTCTAGACCTTGAATTTTTAAACTAAGAAATTAAGTTTTTAAAAATAAAAACCTTTATTTTTTTATATAATAGTCTTTTTACTTATAAGGCCAGCACTTTTGTCTAATACTTTCTTTTATTTAGTCAACATTTTCAGATTTATGACATTTTGAATTCGTATAACAATTTCAAATAATTTTCTTCTTATTGTAGACACAGTTGCAATCTTCACTGAAATGCTCGACGTTCTTTTGCCAGTTGTTGCATTACAATTTCAGAATAGGCTTGTTGAATTCTATGTTTTGGATTTTCTCTTGTTGGAACAGTTGCCATAATCCGATTTTTAATTATACTCCGTAAAAATTAGAAACTTGCACATTGCTTCCTCATCATTACAGATTGCTACTATTGCTCCTATTTTATTTCGCTCACAAAGCTCCTCTATGAAGAAGCTTGTATTTTATTCGATGCATAATTATTAGTATTTATTAGTTTGGCTTCTTCATACAGAAAGCTTTATGAGCGAAATAAAATAGGAGCAATAGTAGCAATCTGTAATGATGAGGAAGCAATGTGCAAGTTTCTAATTTGCATACTTTTTTAAATTTAAAATTTAATCTTTTTATGAATTGATAGAGGGTTAGCTTAGTAGCACAAGTGAATACAATTAACGCAATGTCAAATCAATGTTGAATTTGGGAGTTCAGGCTACATGATCCATATATGAACTTCGGATACGGACCTTTAATTGTGTATAAAACTGGGTCTAATTATCAACCAAGTCTTAAAGAATTATATATGAAGTAGGGATAAAAAAAGGACTGAAGAATATAATAGAATTATAAATAGCCTGATGTCTCAAAAATGGCGGAAATTAGAGCAACCACTGACATTTATCAAAAAATTAAAAATTTTATAAAGAAAGAACCCTTTTACAGGTTATTGCCAAATTCAATACCAACCTTCTTTTAATGATACTCTATGTGAAATTACATGTATAATTTATACATGTAACTTTTTGAGCAAAAATCGGTAACCCCTTCACCGATCCTTGCCAAATTCAACACCAACCTACCTTTAATGATACTCTATCCATTAAAAAAATTAAGCTTGATATCTCAAAATTTGCGGAAATTAGATTAATCATGCATGTAAATTTTTTTAGATAGAAATCGGTAACCCCTTTATTATTAGCAATTTTTCTAATTTTATTATTAAAATAATTAGACTTGTGAATTTTTTATTCTATTTTTAATTCTATTATATTCTTCAGTTTGTTCTACTTTTATCTCATATATAATTCTTTAAGATTTGGTTAATCAGTTCTTGAGTTACAGAAATTTCGGTAAATTTGGCACATACATACACACATTTTCAATGTTTTATTACATTCTGAACACATTCATTGGCATCGAAAACTAAAAAAACTATTTTTTCTTTGGTCTTTTCTACCCCTATTTCATATATAATATAATTGCATATAATTCTTAAAAATTTGATTGATTAGACGTAGGTACGAAGAGATCAGTGTACTGTATTCCCTTATCCTGTCCACATCTGAGAGAAAATCTCGTTTATTTTCAGTCGAGAAATCCTTGCATCATGAGCTGTTTTAGAATTATATGTATACATACATATATATGTAGTACTTTTTGAATACTTCCCGAGCTTACTTGTATAGCTTCTTGAGATATGACGCAGAGTCAATATTATTAAAAACTAGCAAGAAACATTTTTGTATTTTTGCAAGGACAGATTTTTAATATTTTTAATTTTGTGCTTACTGGATATTTTCAATGTATTTGTACCTTAACTGACCTTAAGGGGGAATATACACCTAAAAACGAAAAAGAAGGTAATTTTCCGGAATTTTTTTCAGGGGAATTATTGGAATTATCGGGTCAGAGTTTTTTGTAGTTAAAAATATACACTTTCAAGAAAATTTTTTTTATTAAAAAATATTGCAAATTCACGGAGTACTGGAGTCGTCTACGGAGTGCTGTAAAAAAAAGTTTCAAAACGGTATCCAGCGGCGCTTCGTCAAAAATTATCTAAAACAAAAAATCTAACAGGAAATGAAAATAGATACTATTATTTTTGGCGTATCATAGCCGATTTTAAAAATACTCAACGTAGCGATTTTCAAGATCGCTACGTTGAGTATTTTTAAGCGCCCGCCATTTTGTAAAAAATCGGTATTTTTAAAATCGGTTATGATACGCCAAAGATAATAATATCTATTTTCATTTCCTGTTTGATTTTTTGGTTTAGATGATTTTTGACGAAGCTCCGCTGGGTACCGTTTTGGAACATTTTTTTTTACAGCACTCCGTAGACGACTCCAGTATTCCGTGAATTTGCAACATTTTTTAATAAAAAAAACTTAAAACATTCTTGAAAGTGTATATTTTTAACTACAAAAAAACCCGACCCGATAATTCCAATAATTCCCCTGAAAAAAATTCCTGAAAATTATCTTTTTTTCGTTTATAGGTGTATATTCCCCCTTAACCGAATAACATAAAACGCAAATTCAAAACAATATAAATCTAAAAACGTTGACTGGATGAAAAATACTTTGGACGAAAGTTTAGATTTATAAATAGAAAAAGATTATTATATAAAAACATGGATTATATATATATATATATATACACACATATATATATATATATATATATATATATAAATATAAAACTCAAGTCCTCATGTGACACTTACAAAAAGTCAAATAATCCTATTTTTTTCTCCCTTTTAAAACAACTTTTATCTAAAATATTTTTTTTCCATAATGTGTACTTTCAGAGGTAACAGCTTCACTTTGAATGCCCTATTCTGTGCATTATACTGTACACACATATGTGCAATAGATACAAACATAATATATATACTGTCATATACATATACTGTCTATACATAGAGATCATTATTAACTCTACATTATTCGTGGTTTTTTTTACATAATTACTTGAGTTAAATGTATTTTATACTCCAACATTATATCTCAATTTTCATTGTTCTTTTTACCGATTTATAATTAAATAAAGATTGATATAATATTCGAAATAAAGACAAGTAAAAAGATTCTTCTTTAATTAAAACAATTTATGTGGCATTTAATCGATAAAAACATTTTACGTCGCAGACAAAATAAAATAAATTAAACGTTACTCTATAAAGAAAAAATTAAATTTTTTACTACTTAGTGTAAAAGGACGCAATTCTAAACTCATAATAAATAAGTATATAAGTATACAAAGAGTTGAGAATACTTGGCTGGTTGCATAGGGAGAAAGAAATGTTTTATGAAAGTTGTTTAACTCAATACAATGTATGCAATAAAATATACATATTTTGTTAACTATACTTATTTGTAATTAATAATAAAAGTTAATCATATAATATTTATTTTATAATAATTTTCAACAAGCAAATGTAACAACATATTTTTGTCTTTAAAATAGAAAATTTATTTTCTAAAAAAGTTCATATATGTATAAAACAGTTCTTCTTAAGTAATGATAAAAAATGATAAGTTTTCACTATAGATTTGCATTCAATTTACTTTATTGTTAGCTTATGTCAAAATAACAGTTACTTTATTTTAACAACTTTTCAATAATTATCCTGTATATTAAGAAAACATGATTCAAATATCATATTATTTGATAACTGTGCCTTGTATTTTACCTGAGTAAAGAGATAATGTTGCCTAAAGTATAGAATACAGCAAATACAGCAAGACCTTTCTGTAAGAACAAGGCAAAGGATCCAAGGAATGTACATAGTATGCCTACGATGAAACAAATAGCAAAACCTTTTATCCTGGTAGACCAACTTAATGTTGTTTGATCCATGACCTGTTAATTAAAGAAAAAACATAAATTTTCTACAATTTTCCATTAGACAAGTAAAGTAAAATTTTATATAATATTATAAATAATAATTTTTAATTATACATAACAGTAGAAAATGTTATAAGTATATATATATATATATATATATATATATATAATATATCTCAAATATTCTTTAATAATTACCGTAAAATCTGCATCAACCTTCCATTGTTGATTACGAGTGAGCATTTATTAAAATATGATAATTTTAGTTTACAGATAAAACAAGATTATTATTATATGTAAGTTAGGGTTACCAAATATCACTGTCGCGAAAGGACAACAATTTCTATAGAAAATATTAATGAAAGATATACATAAGAAAAATGTAAGTAAAACAATTTTAAATTTCTTAAATTAAAATTTTAATCATTATATACATGTAATCATTAAAGTTAGTAATCATTTAAATTACTTTATTAAAACATATTAATACTTTTCTTTCATTTCTTTTCCACATTTTTTTTACATAAAACGTATGTTTAATTATTTTATACTTATCTTAACTTTAATATAACAAAACAAACTGAATTGTTAACATATTATATAATGAAAATTTATATTTTTCTTATAAAATCATATTTTTCTGATATAACAAATCTCATAAACAATTGCTTATTACTTAATCCTAGGTATACACTCTAGAGTCTTTAAGACTCTAGGTAAAATTTGAAATTTTACCATTGATAGAACGAATAAGTAGGGGGATACGACTGCAATGTAGAAAAATTTTGGAGTCTCTTTAATAGCTAGCAACTGCCGAAGTAGTCAATTGTCCAACGGATAATTAACACGTAAAATAAGTCTGGGGTCTCTCGGACTCCAGTATAGGATATTTCGTACAACTTTTTTTTGTAAGTAAGTATATTTTCTAATTTATTTTATTCGAGTTCATGGTGTAAAGTCAATTGTGTATATTCAAAACAATATCTGATTATAATAGGTTGGCCAATAAGTCCGCGCGGTTTTTGACTTATAAATGTTACTTATAAATAACCGCACGGACTTATTGGCCAACCCAATATTTCTATCATTTTTAACCCTTTTTGGTCACACTGGGTAAAATACACTCCAGCGTTTTTTGACTTCGAAAACGACCCAGTAAACCAATGGAAATGGGCCTTGTGCCATTATATCTACAGGTAGTTCTTCAAGTATCGATCCCCGTCGGTGGTATATTTTTCGGCCCGTTAGTTCTCTCTCCGCATTTTTTTTCTGCAAAAAATCGCACCTTCTAACCTCAAAATCAACATACTTTTTGGAACGGCCGCATAATATTGTTATCGGTTTTACTAAACTTGTCAAACTTGAGCACAAGATTGTTAAAACATAAAGTATACCAATACACTTGCATATTGTTTTAGGTAAATAATGGAAACACATAGCTGCGACGAGATAACAGGTGTTTAAATCTCGACTAGAAGCAGAGTATCTGAATAAGTCAAGCTATTCTGAAGAAGACAGCGAAAAATTCATGTCTAAAGACAAATCAGAGGAAGTCAGTGATATGGATTCGGAATATAGAGTTTCTGCAGAAGAAAGCAACGATAAACTGGAACTTCCTGCAGAGACTCCTTGAAGGAAGCCTATAAAGATTACTGAGAAATCCTGTAAAGTCCATATCCAAGACATATGGTAAAAACCATTACAAGTGGACAACATTAGTCTCTGAACCAAGAAGACGCCATTAACAGAAGCGAATAGTTTTTTATATTTTGTATTCTTTATTTTCTTTATAAATAAATATGCATTATAAATCATTAAACATGTATTTCTTAACAAAAATGCTAATTTTTACCTGTTTGCAAAACTGCCAGATAATAGAAATGTGAAATTTCATCATTTTTAGAGCCTTATAATTTTGATGATAATATTCCAATATTTAAGTGGAGAATTTTTGTATACTTTGAAATATGCTTTTTCAAAGTCTGAAAAGTTTTCTTGATTATCTCTGTTAGCAAAAAAGATATGAATTTTTCAAACAATTATGGTAAAATAACGGTTTTCTTTGCATTTATGAGTGATATCACAATTTTTCAATACGTGTGTATTGGTTCTTATTATAATTTTAGATTATTTTTGAATAAAGGTACGTATTTTTCAGTTTATTTATTTAAAAAAAAGTGATTCAAATATGGTGATTTTCTCGAGTTATAATAAAAAAAGTAGCAGAGATCCTCCAGACCCTATTGTGGTGTTTACGTATGTGAAAAATAAGTGTTTACCTAGGGTTAAGTTTCCTTCAAAAAATTGCAAACAATTTCTATTGCAAAAGTTTAATTTTACTATTACCAAACTTTTCATAATTTCAATCAAGATTTTGTTTTATTCACTTGACTATTGCAAAACCATTACATTACTAAATGTAATGCTCTCTCAGACATGGAATTCTAAGCAGGAATTACGAACATATATTGACAAGTTTTTAAAAATTTTGAGTGTTTTTCTGAATTGTCTATTGCTTGAAAAGACTCGATTTCTCATTTACTGATTGTTTATTTAAATCAGAAGTCTGGTGCACAGCCATTTCATTGTTGGCATTTTATTGAACAAATGCTGTGTTCCACTTTATACGAAACTGAGAGTTAAAATGCAAAATTGTAAAAATAGAACATTTAATATTGTTTTTGTTCAAAGGTAGGAAGACGGAGGATCGAAGACTAAATTGTAGGACATGTCCTCCTAAAGTAGAACGTTTGGTAACCCTAATGTAAGTAACTAATCATTTATACGTATATTGCATTCCAATCAGTAATACAGTTTATTAAACGTAATTACCTGGGTAATAATACCGCTTTCTTCATCGCACCGCTCATTGCCATTCAGGGCTCTCCGTAGTTTGTCCATTTTTTAAATGAAAAACGAGTAAACTTTTCAGAGAAACTGAATATTAAATTTATTAATTCATTCAATATGTGAGGTTATCAAGCTCAACGATATATTTTACTCCTTCTATCACACATTCATGTTTTAGATCATGCGTATTTCTAAATGCTTAACTTATCGGGAAATCTTTACACGTTAAATTAATAAAAACACATCTGCCATCATATTTATTTACACGTCTTTCAAGCATATACGTATGTTGTGTGTGCTAAATGCTATGGCTAATATACATATGCTCTATCAACGAACTTGAGACTTGAGACTGCTTGAGATCTGTTCTTTATAGCTGCACTAATTGCACTTTCTGTACTTAAAGGCCCATATTCATAGTTGGAATTTATTTTGAAGACCGATTTAAGTTCAGTTTTAAGTTGTCTAGATTCATAATTAATAAATGTGGATAAATAAAACAAAACTTGAGTAAAATCTTAAGACATAACTTGTCGAAGATGAACTTATAGGCCTGTTCGTGTTAGCTGAACTTCTTGTACGATTCATCTTTCCTCTTTTTCTTTTTACGTTGAAAAGAAAAAGAGAAAAGATGAACTGTGCAAGGACAGTGCAAGTTCAGCTAAAACAAACAGGCTTCATTTCAAAACATACTAATATATATATGTTTCATAGACCTATCTTAATTATTCGACATAAGCATGAACAACAGATAAATATTCACTTTCCAATCTTATTTTTAAACTGTCGAAAGCGTCCTAAAAATTGTGCAAATCGTTATATATGATGAACAGAATAACATCTCGCAGATTAAATAAATCTCTGCGTACTTGCCTCATTCTGCTGTCATCTATTTAAGTTGTCTAATATTTGTATAATTAGATTTGTGTTTTTAAATGACATTACGGTTTTTGCATTTATAATTAAATTTGCATTGGATGAAATATTATATAGAATCGGTGCAAATGCCCAAGCAAAAAAATTTTTTTAAACGTTTTTAAAAACATTTTTAGTAATAAAAAAAATATTTAAAAAACGTTTAAATTAATTTTCTTATTAAAAAATTTTTATTTTAACATTGTAATAATAAGTTTTTTTAACATTAAAAAAATATGTTTTTAATATTAAATAAACGTTTGTTGACATTAAAAAATGTTTTTTTTATGTTAGATAAATGTTTCATTAACATTAAACATTTTTTTAATGTTTAAGAATGTTTATTTTAACAACTTTTTCGACAAAGAAACGTTTAAAAAACGTTCTTTTTCTTTATCTAGGAAAAGAAAAAAAACCGTTTTTCCTGTTTTTTTTCTTTATATATTGGGTGTGCGTACAACCGCGTGCCTGATAAAACTGCGCTCTCAAGCCCGTCATCCCCATCCGAGTATAGTACTGTGCCCACGTTGCTTGACTTTGATGATTGAATGGACAAGTGACAATCCTCTGACTCTGACGCTTCCTTCTTATACCTGTATTTGTCTACAACATATCTTTAAAATGTTAAAAAATCTGGAGTCTCGATTGAGAGAGTCAAATCTTAAAGTGTTAAAAAAACGACAACAGAAAAATGACGAAACATCTCTTACAATTAAATAAATGTTAAATAAATATTAAATAAATGTTAAATAAAATAAATAAATGTTAAATAAATATTAAATAAATGTTTTTTTATATTATTATTGGAAATAAATAATTAATGTAAAATAAATATTAAATTAATGTCGAATAAATGTAAAATGTTTTTTAAAATTATTATTGCAAATGAATTATTAATGTAAAAGAAATATTAAATAAACGTTAAATAAACGTTAAATAAATATTTTCTCTAAATTATTATTTCAAATAAATAATCAATGTAAAGTAAATATTTAATATACATTAAATAAATATTATTTTTACAATGAATTGTACAATGTGTAATTAATAAAAAATAAATATTTAAAAAACATTTAAAAGACATTGCCTGCTGCTTGGGTGGAAGAAGATTTGACTATGTAAATTATATATTTTTTATATAACAAATATGGATTTTATCTATTAATAATTAGTAATAATTTATTTGTATAGTAATCCTAATGCTACATCTTTATTATTTATCTTACTATTTTAAAAAATATGAAGAAATATTAATTTTACTCAAAAATTTCAGAAAAATAATTTTGGTTTCATTGATGAAATTGACGGACCAAAAATTGTTGGCAGGACACAATACAATAGATTATTAAATTCCTGTTGTTAATAATAATTATAGTAAATACCGTGTACTATTAAATAGTGGTGTGGAATGCACCCAGTAAGCAAGGAACATTAAATTAACGTTTAAAAATATTGATTTTATGTGTATTTTTTAAACGTTTTTTAATAATATTATACACATATTTAAAAAATATTATTTCGTAATATGATTTTTCTGAATGTTGTTAAAATATTTTAAAAACGTTACAGAAAATATTTTTCAAATGTTACTCTGACATTTATTTGAGATTAATGCAACAGTTCAAAATTCCTTGTAATTTGGACTTGGAAATAACGTTGGTAGTATATTAATTTTCTGTTGTTAGAATGTTATTGTTTTATATTGTGCCCAACGCTCATCGCGACAGCCATGATGCGTACATTTACGTACGATGCGTGAGTGCGTACGTGTGGATCGAGCAGTGCGGAGTGCTTTTTATTTACAGTATATTTATATATAAGTAACTATTATATTCTAAAAGTTGTATATTAATAATAAGAACGCAATTAACCATATGTGCTATGAATAGTAGCTGATATGATGATCTATATAACCTATAATTTAGGTTAACTACAAATAACGTTCTTTGGGTATCGGTAGAAACTATATAGTGGAATTATTTGCTATTTTCTTGCAATTTACTGCCGATTATTTTCAGCTGTTTGAGTGCGTCGAGATCATGAGCAAACGCACGCTTGTTGCGACAGCCAATCGGAAGCAGTAATAGTTCTGGAGACTGTAGTCGCATTATCTTACATATACGTATGATGTGTGAGTGTGTCATATATACGTACGTTTGTGCTTGTGCGCTTGTGCGCTGTCGAGCGCTTTTAATTGTATACAACATTTTTATATGGGTAAGTAATTATTATATTCTAAATCTTGCATATTAATGATAAGAACCCTGCAATTATCTAATGTGCTGTAAATAGGTAGCTGGTGATTCAAGATCTATTTTTTGACCTATATAAGAGAGAAATTTGCAGAAGAAAAAAAATATACCAAAGTATTAATAAGGATCGAACATATTCTTGATGTACTCGGGCCGCGAAACTGAGCAATATTCTAAGGAAAGTATTGTACAAGATACAAAGATTGGACAATATCTCATCCCTTTATCTTCCATTGACAATTTGAAGATATGCTAAAAACTGATCAAGAAGCTTTCATGCAAGTTGTAAGTAAAGCTGCTTATCACAATTATAATTAATTCTATAAACATTTACAAATAACATTCCCGGTTAGTATAATAGTTACATAATCGTAGTAGATATAAATTTACACAATAAAATCTGCAGACTTTGAAAATTTAAGAATTAAGAGAAAAGACTGTAAGAGATATCTCCTCTCCCTCCCTCTCTCTCTCCCTTTTTCTCCCTTTCTCTCCAAGAGTAGTAAATTATTTGCAATTTAGAGTCTGTTTATGTTCTAAACTCAGAGTTACAAA